AGATACTAAACATGTCCGCAATAAGGCTGAATTTCGTTGCAAACTTCATCGTTAGTACTCCCCCGTTCTTGTTCTTCTTCCATACCAGACATTATTGTAGCATGCCAAAACCGCTATTGTTTGGTCACCTGATGGCCCGCTTTTGCTTTATTTCTACTTGTATTTTCTGATTCTTATCCATTTTTTCATTCAAGTTTACCCTCTTTCCTATTTTACTTAATATACTTCTATTTTTTTTATTTATTTTATTCAATAAACTTTTGAATTACTCATGTTTTAATCACTTTAAATTAGTTTATTATTATTTTCGTATAATGTGATTTTTTATTATTATTTAATATAAAATAATTTTAAATATAAAATAAAAACAGAAGGTGGTCGGATGCCACCGTTAGTCGTCATCGGCTGCCATATACGGTGGCCTTTTTAGTCTCAAATTTCATGGGTCGGTTCGCCTTGACCTCTTAAGTTCGAATCTAGTGGTTGTTTGATAACTCCGTAAAAAGACTATATTTTAGGTCTTTTTACTTAAGTTATTGATTGTCTAAAAGTCATTGACATAGCATTTTAGCTGCATATAGTTGCATTTAGGACATATTTTCATGTGGTGGATAATTTTTTCCGAGATAGTTTATTTGATTAAACTGATGTTCTTGATGAGAAAGGCTCATTGTTGGTTGTGATGATGCAGGAAATGACTGAGGAATAATTTATTTGCCGAGACAAATTAATTTGCTAGGGCCAGTAGAACAGAAAACGAAGACAGTAAGGAACAAATTTTCTTGCCAAGGCGAGTTTTATCTTGCCAGTCTGATGCAGTACGAGACAAAATTGTTGACGTCACATGGCCAGCTGTCCAATCTACCTCACGTGCAATCATGCCTTCATCAAAGAATTTGATATCACCACAAACTACTATGTTATTCACAAAAAGGGTTTAATTTCAAGGGTATTTAGGGAATTTCCAATGGCACCAAACCCTAGAAATACCCACTATAAATATCCTATTATAACTCTTCATAAGGTGTTCAGAATCATACAGAGAAAATACCCTAGGCTTGGAAAAAGACGTCCGATACATCCTTTTTTTCAACGTTCCCCACTCGTCCATCCTTGGTGCCCTCCATAGCCAGGCTTTGTCGGGGCAGCGACCAGGCCCTCGAAAGAGGTTGGTGCACTAGAGCAGTCATGGTGGTGGTCTGATGTCACAACAGATCTCTGTTCTAGGAGTTTTTCTTCCTTTTGTTCTTCATGTTTTATTTTTCTAATGGCTTGTACTTAATGAATATTTTTGGGATGATGTAAACCACACCATAAACTGTTTTATTTGGTGTTGATGATATTTTATTTTACCTTTAATGAATGATTAAGTATGATTTTGTTAAGTGTTGTTTTGTTATCTGTTTTAACCTTTTGCCTTGACACTGTAAGAGCTTCGAGAGATTGCGTGGTGCCTAGGCGAAACATTTCTAGACCTTGTAAGAGCTTTCGAGAGATTGCCATTTTTCTAGAAATAGATTATTAGATTCGAGAGAATTAAGATAGATCTACGTGAGCAATGAAATAGATCCGGGATGGTGATGTTTTAACCTGTTTGCCTTAGAGATAAGGAGAGAGTTTCAATCGACTAAAAGGGATAAACGCTTGAGTATGATAGACAACGACTATAGTTCATGCTGAGGAGTATTGCCACAACAATAGTCTGAAAAACCAAGGGTTGTAGCTCACGGTAAGTAGTATTGTCATAGCAACCGTCTTAGAATACTCAATAACCCTGTCGGGCAGCCTAAGCATAGCATACCAAATCATTCTTAGCATAAAATAACTTCTCACCATAGCAGAATCAACCTAAGTGATCCGTTAGAAGACTGATTGTGTGAGGTTGCCAGTCTATTTACAGTGTTTTAATAACTTTAGCCTTGACAACTTTTATTTGTTTACATTTGCATATTTTTCTTTCATCGACAAAACTTTTCTGCTCACTTCACTTTACAATTTTTCTTGCCTCGACCATACTTTTTTTTCGATATGTTCTTACCATTTGCCACTGCATATTTTCCTTGTTTATATAATTAGACTTAGATACTTAGGATTAATTAGTGACACATATTCTTAGTTGTAGCAATCTTTTAAAAGCCCTCCAATCCTCGTGGAGACGATACTCACTCAGTACTATATTACTTGCATCGATGTGTACACTTGCACAGATTTGCTTGCCTTAGCATATACATTTACAAGCGATCATTGTTTCACCGAAAAATGTCCCAAAACCCATAAATCTCGAGTGAAATATTTCGGCTTCCTCACTTTTGATCTCCAATTCGTGGACTTCGAAGCAAGTTCCGATAGAATAGAGGTCAAATTCGAACTCAAGATGTCGAAGCGAAATGATCCGTGAAATTTGGGACAAAAATGTCACCATCTACAACAGTCGATGGTGGCGTTCAACCACCTTCTATATTTATTTTATATTTTAAAGTGGTCAAAACTGATAATTTAGATACTAAACACGTAAGTTTATGTACGCTTTTAAAAAAAATAAAAGTTTAAATACTAAAACGGATTAAAATTGATAGTTTAGTTACTAAACATGTAAGTTACCCCGACTTTAATTCTGGATATAACTTCCCGAAGAAAATTTCAAATAGATTGAGTTTTGAAGCGGCTATAGTTTACATACAAGAATTTTGATAGGTACACATGATCTATTTAAACGAAATTTAAGATCTGATAATCAAATCTATTTAGCTTAATGATCTAAAGTGATTGTAATTATTCTATGTCTAACACCATAAGAAAAAATCACTATAAATGCCTCTTAACCACGACTAAAAGAAAGAATCTAAACTACTTTCTTCTCCTCATAAACTCTTATATTTTTTTATGTCTTCGTCTCTTCTACAAAGAAACATTAGTTAAAATGTATGTAAAGAGTGGTTACATACTCACCCTGAAATCTAATTTTCTTAAGGTTAATTGTTCATTTTATTGATGACATTTACCTTGAAATTTTATTTGTGTTCGTCTAGTATGAATTTTTATTATTATTAATACATATATGTTCACAGAGCCGTCTCAGACATTTTAAAAGATTCAATTATAAAAATAAAAAATATAATAAAAAATTAGGAAACCTATAAAAAAATGAAGCTCTAGCGATTGTCCAAGTGTTTTAAGGAAAAAACACAAAAACTAATTGCGTGAATCAGTGAAAATATGTGTTTTAAGGGAGTAATAAAGTATAGTGTTTGATTAAGTTTTAATCCTATTGATATCATTGTTACTGTTGTATTATAGAAGTAGCGACTTCCAATTGATGTATTTATTTTGATTGTAGGTTTATATTAAGTTGTCTTTTATATGTAATAGTATTTTTTTACGATAATATTATCATTATAATATTTATAATTAATACTTTTTAAATATTAAAAAATATTATATATATATATATAGGACGAAACCCATACTTAGTTTTTAAAAACTTCGAATTTTACTATTAAACCAAAACCTTTTAAGTTATTTAAAAAATAATTGTATATCTAGCACGAATCAATTTATCTCAGTGGTTAAATGAATTGTTATTGTTTCTAGAAGTCACGGGTTCGAACACCAACGACTGTAATTAGGTGATTGAACATTCATTATGAAATGATTGAGAGTATTTAGAATAAATATTATTTTGTAATTATCTTAGCTTAACCAAAAAAATAATAATTATACCATTAAAATGATATATATGTTAAGCTAAATGTAGCTTGTATCGTATATGTTAAGCTATTGAATGATAATAATGACGTTAAATGAAGAAAAAAAGAATTAGAAAAGTATTATATTGAGAAAAGTATTGTCCCTTTGGTCCTCCTCACTTCTAACTTCACCCTACCTCGAAATTTCCTAGTCCAACGAGTCTTCTTCCATTTCCTGCAATTTCGGTAAATTACATGTACAGTATCTAAACTATCAATTTTAATCCGTTTTAGTATTTAAACTTTTAATTTTTTAAAACTTAACGTTTAATTTTGAACGAGTACTAAAACGAAACAAAAACTAAAGTTTTTAATGGTGTGGTAATAAAATGAAATAAAAACTGAAGTTTTTAACGACGGGTACTAAAATGAAACAAAAGCAACTAAACTTTAGGTATTGTTTTTGGAGAAAAAAATAGAAAGCTTAGGTACTAAAACGAACCAAAATTGATCATTTAGGTAGTAAAAGCATAATTTATCAAGTTTTTTATTACTCGACCAATTAGATTTATAAACATATATGTTTTAATATTTTCTTGGGTAAACTACATGATTGATCACTTAGTTTTGTATTTTGTCAATTTTTCCTCACTGATTTCAAAAAACATAATATATAATCACTTTTGTTTTTATTTAATTAAGATGTGGTGACCACGAGTTAACTGTCGTTAAATATTATTTATAATCACACATTTAATCCATGTTATTTACATATTCTCTCAATTTAGTCTTACTTTTAAATTATTAAAATAAATTTAATCATCCAATCAAATGATGCCATGTGTCATTTTCATAATATTATATATATATTAACTTTTAAAAATATTTTTATACTAATTTATTGAATATGTTTTATTATTAACTTAATTTATATATATTTTATTTTATTTTTAATTTAAAATTATATATTTTATATTAAAATATTTTGAAGTTAATATAAGAATAAAATATATTTAATAAATGACACATGGTATCATTCGATTAGAGGATTAAATTTATTTTAAAATATGATTGAATTAAAATAATATAGAAATAATAAGGACCAAATTTGTGATTATACCAAAATATCACGTCACGTCACTTCATTTGCTAACTGTTAACTATAGTTAACCTTATTTTTATTTATTAATATGAAGTAACTATAAGAGATTATTTATTAAAAGATAGTTGGTCCAAGTCTTCTTAGTCAAAGTCTTCTAACTCACCGACTTGCTATATGTTTGGCTGGATTTAGTGGAAAACTCCATTGTTAATCCTCAATTGTTGTTGTTGTAATGCCACAATTAAAAGCAAAGCTGCCATGGTTGGGTCAGCTAATGGCCGCTTTTGCTTTTGCTTTAGTTGTATTTGTATTTCCTGGTGCTTGCCTCGCCAGGCATGTAAATCAGGATTGTGGGTCTGTTTTTTGTGGAAGCTTGAATATCAGTTACCCATTCCGGTTGAAAACCCAACCTCCTCACTGTGGTCACCGTAGGTATGAAGTTGAGTGTGACAAAAATAACCGCACCACTGTGGTTGCGAGAGAGGGGAAATTCTCAGTCGAAGAAATATTTTATGAAAATTACACGATGCGAGTAGTTGATGCGGGCCTCGACATGGATGATTGCAACTCCCTTCCTCTCTCTTCCGTATATTATTATAGTCCTTATCTTGACTGTGAAAAACCTATTCAATTTTATTATGATTATAATCTTAGCCTTATGTATGTTGTGAATTGCACGAAACCTATAGAGTCAGCTCTCTATATTCCAGCATCTCGTTGTAGGATCAACTCCAATGTCTCTTCCTATTTCTACTTTTTAGACGGAAGAACCCCGCTGTCTAATTTCAGTCAATCCTGCACTTTGGAAGTGGAGGTTTCAATTTGGGTTCATAATATCTCAGGCATGTCTACGCTGGATATCTACAACAAGCTATCTGAGGGAGTTCTGCTTACATGGATGACGGAGTACTACTTCAAGGAGAATTGCATCAGCCACAAAGTTTCATTTCAAGACGTGTAAGTTTCTCCAAAGAATCTCAGTGTTTTAGTAATACATCATTAACTTTACATTTTTTGCTTAAAGCATTTGCCTATGCTTTTTGTTTAGTTTGACTCACTTCTTTCTTTTATGTTAAAATTACAGGGTAAACTATACCATTTCTACTTAACTTTATTCTTTCTACTATTTCACTCACTATATTTTCATTTTTTTAATTTTCTCACTGAACTTTTGAATTATTTTTGTTTTGGTCACTGAATTATATTATTATTATTTGGTATGATGTGGCCTTTTTTATTATTATTTAGTATAAAAATAATTTAAAATATAAAATTAAACCCATATGGTAACCGTCTATTGCTTTTCGTCGTTGGACACCACCACCAACGGCCGTAAATGGTGATCTTTCGGTCCCAGATATCATTGGTTACTTCAACTTGATCTCCCGAGTCTGAATACGACATCTACTTTATCGAAACATGCTCTGAATCCGGTCAAAAGTGAGAAAATTGAAATGCCAATGGTCATAGATGGCTACCGATTCCAAAAGTCGAAAGTAGTCAACAGTGACGAGAAGAGGCAGTGATTATTTTAAATCTTTTTAAATTATTTTTATATATAATAATATATAAAAATGCAATGAAATAATAATAATAAAGTAATTTGTAGTGACAAAACAATAATAATTTGAAAATTTAATGATTAAATTAAAAAATTGAGTACAGTGAATGAAATAGGAGAGAGAGCAGAGTTAAATAGTGAACGGTATAGTTTACCCAAATTTATATCCATTTTAATTATTGTTGTGTCAATTATGTCACTCAGATATTGTCTATTTTGTTGGGGGTTTTTTTAGCAATTTACACTAATATTTAAATGGGATCTAGGTTATACGGCTCGCTATATGTCTTGCAATCTGCAGTTGCTAGCGTTTTATGTGTTGGAGTAACAGGTAAATTAGCTTTAGTTCTGCTATATTTTGCTCATAATGGGTAACTTTATATTGATCAGATTTTACCAATGCATTCAATTTTACCTTTCTTTTAAAGGAGTAGTTATCTAAGCAAGACATTTACTGTGTTGATCTCATAAAGTACTAATGTTTTCCATTATGTCTTTTTCCGTTAAAAAAAAGTTGGACTCATCACGCTGAGGACCCTGCTTGGAATACTTTGTTTGGTTGTGCTTGTTACCTACAAATGGAGAAGAAGTCATTTATCAGCTGATGATAAGATTGAAGAATTCCTTCAAAACCACAATCTCTCACCAATTAGATACTCCTTTAAACAAATCAGAAAAATGACAAAAAAATTCAAAGAAAAATTAGGTGAAGGGGGCTACGGCTCCGTGTTTAAAGGAAAGCTTCGCAGTGGACATCATGTGGCAGTGAAATTGCTTGGCAAATCAAAGGGTAATGGCCAAGATTTCATAAATGAAGTTGCCTCTATTGGGAGAATCCATCATGCTAATGTGGCAAAACTCGTTGGATTTTGTGTGGAGGGATCAAAGCAAGCACTTGTATACGACTTCATGCCAAATGGATCTTTGGATAAAATCATATTTACGGAAGAAAATAAGAACGCTCTGGGCTGGAAAAAGATGCTTGAGATTGCGCTTGGGGTGGCTCGAGGAATCGACTACTTGCATCGAGGGTGTGACATGCAAATTTTGCATTTTGATATCAAACCACACAATATTCTTCTAGACCACAATTTCAATCCAAAAGTTTCGGATTTTGGTCTTGCTAAATTGTATTCAGTCGATGAGAGCGTCGTGTCTCTCACCTCAGCACGGGGAACAATAGGATACATAGCTCCCGAATTGGTATACAAAAACCTAGGAGGCATTTCATACAAAGCCGATGTTTATAGTTTCGGGATGTTACTAATGGAAACGGTGGGAAGGAGAAAGAATGTGAATGCATTTGCCGATCACACCAGTCAAATCTATTTTCCGTCTTGGATTTATGACCGATTGGATCAAGGAGAGGACATGGAGCTTGGAGATGCTTCTGATGATGAAAAAGTAATGGTTAGGAAGATGCTAATAACAGCCTTTTGGTGCATACAATTACATTCCGCTGATCGTCCATCGATGAGTAAAGTCTTGAGGATGCTTGAAAATGAGGATGAGTTACTTGAAATGCCTCCAAAGCCATTTCATGAACTTCCTCTTGACACATCATCGGAGGTTCACGGTGGTGAGAGCCCTAATGATGAGCCAACTACATCAATGGATTCTATTACCATAAACAGCAGATCAAATGTGGTTTGAGATTGCTTTGCAGCTTTATATTATTTTGCATTTTATATGTACTTGTATGATGTTATATGTGGAGCATATGTACACGGATATATACTTAGAACTAAATATTGAACAAATTTGATACTGATATTAGCTTTGAAATTTAACTTTCTTTCTTGAATAAGCTAAATGTGTCATGTTATCAAATTAACATAAATTATTAGTTTTATAACAAAAATAAGGGAGACTAAAAACGTATAATTATATTAAAACATGTATAATCTAAATATTCTTTGCATTCTTAACCGGTAAGATACAAGTTACATAAGTATTGAACGACTAACTTTAACTAGTAGGAAACGTGTTACATAAGTATTGAACAAAAGGGATAAATCTCAACATAATCCCTATATATTTTTGTTCTATTGGGTTTTATTTTTAGTTTTCGATCGAGGTTTATAACTAGAGGCCCCTAATTTTTAAATTTTATAAAATAGTCCATACTTTCTATCTTTATAACCGAGGGCTCATGATTTAAAATTTTTTCTATGATATATTAACATAATATTAAATTAATTGTTCAAAATAATAAAATATATTTTCATTATATATGACTTATTTTTTAGTTTTCGCTCAGGCTCCAAAAATGTTGACGGCTATGGTTATTTTAAAATACTTGTACCTCAAAAGTGATATATATGTTAAGCTGGAATATAGATTGCGTCGTATACGTAAAGCTATTGAATGAAAATAGTGAGGTTAAATGAAAGATGACTAAAAATAGAGGTACTAAATTGGGAAAAGTGCTGACCCCTTGGTCCTCCTCACTTCTGCCAAGAAACATCACCCTGGCTCATTTTTGGAAATCCTTAATCCAACAAATCTTTCATGAAAATCATGTCTAACGTGACGCAGTTGTTGGGCTAGAATTAGTCCCGTAAATGAACTGAATGTTCAGCGAACCATTCATGAATCGTGTGGCGGGAAGTTCGTTTATGTGCGTTTATTTATTAAATGAACGAGCATGAACAAGATTTTGTGTTCGTTTAATTAAATGAACGAACATGAACATAGGTCTCGTTTGTTCATTTACGTTCGTGAACGTTCGGTTATGTTCGTTTATGTTCATTCATTTATATTTAACCCAATCTTCTTAAATCAATTTTGGTGACCAATTTATAAGTATCTTAAAAATATTAATTAATATGATATTCTGATGACAAACTCCATAATTAACACAATTTTATTTGGAAAACCCAATAATATTAACATGGTTTAGTTCTTTTTAAACGATCCATAAGCTGCATACCCAGCACCGTCAACATCCACTGTGCCGGAACCCTATGTGACTGCGCCATCAACTCGAGTCTCGAGTTTTAATTGAGCTCTTAATTTTTTTTTTGAGTTCGAGCCTTTTCGAGTTCGAGTCGAGTTTCAATATTATATTTCGAGTTCGAATCGAGCTTGATAATTTTCAGCTCGCGAGTTTTCGAGTCAAGTCGAGCTGACTTTGAAAGTTTTCGAGTTCGAGTCGAGCTCAGCAATACTCGAGCTCGACCCGGCTCGTTTACACCCCTAGGTAGGGTCTCTAACGTTTATGTTCGTGTTCATTTATGTTCGTGTTCGTTTATGTTCATGTTCGTTTATGTTCGTTTATTTATTAAATGAACAAACATGAACAAGTTATATTCCTTAATAAACGAACATGAACAAAAAAAATTTGTTCATTTATGTTCGTGTTCGTTTATTTATTAAATGTACGAACATGAACATACCTCCGTTCGTGTGCGTTCAGTTCGTTTAGAGGCCTAGCTAGAATATGACTTACGACGTATAAATTACGTGACGTATTTGAACTAACAGCGAATAGAATTTTGTGGGTCTTCATGGGATGATTGAGATGACGAGGGCTTGTCTGCCAATAGTAATAGATGGTCCAAATGGAAGGTGTGCAGTTCATACTGCCTTTTCTCTCGTGCGCCTCGTTCGGTTCCCCGAAAAGTAAAAGAGGCCAGACCCTGTAAGCTGTAGCTATGTACGGCGGCTTTAGGATCCGACTGTTGGTTTCTCTCAAACATGGGCAAAGTCAAAGTCTTCAGTCCCCATTAATGCTTCTTCTCAGGCTCGAGTTCTCTAATAAGTTTGCCTGGATTTAGTTAGATACTTAGTTGTTAACCCCCCCAGTTCCCATTGTTCTTCTTCTTCTTCCCTGCCCAAAACTTTTAGCGTGCCACAATTAAAAGCTACATTGCCATGGTTGGGTCAGCTAATGGCCGCTTTTGCTTTAGTTGTATTTGTATTTCCTGGTGCTTGCCTCGCCAGGCATCTAAACCAGGATTGTGGATCTGTTTTTTGTGGAAGCTTGAATATCAGTTACCCATTGCGATTGAAAAACCAACCTACTCACTGTGGTCACCATAACCTTGAACTTGAGTGTGACAAGACTAACCGCACCACTTTGGTTTTGAGAGAGGGGAAATTCTATATTAACATAATATTATATGAAAATTACATGATGCGAGTGGTTGATGCGGGCCTCGACATGGATGATTGCAACTCCCTTCCTCTTAGTTCCATGTACTTTTATTATTATTCTTTCTGTGAAAATCGAGTCAATTGCATTATTTTGATTATTATTATTATAATTACAATCTTGATTCTAGAATTATGTATGTTGTGAATTGCACGGAACCTATAGAGTCACCTATCTATATTTCAGCCTCTCGTTGTAGCATCAACTCCACCAATGCCTCTTCCTATTTCTACTTTTTAGATCAAAATACCATGCCATCTGATTTCAGTCAATCCTGCACTGTGGAAGGCCGGAATCCAATTGGGGTTCGTAATATCTTAGCCATGTCTACGATGGGTATCTACAATAAGCTATCTGAAGGTGTTTTTCTTGAATGGAAGCGGGAGTACTACTTCAAGGGGTCTTGCAGGGGCAACAAACTTTCATTTCAAGACGAGTAAGTTTCTTCGAAGGATCTCTTAGTATGCTTGAATACATCATCAACTTGAGACTTTTTTGTTTAAAACAATTGCGTATCCCTTTACTGCTTTTTACCGCTTAAATAGGTTTTTTTGTGTCGATTACATGTGAATCAGATATTGTCTATCTTGTAGATTTCTTAAAATAATTTGTCGTGAAATAAACTATATATTAACGGTGGAAAGTATAGCTAAACATCAATATCGATGAAGGCTTGAATTTTAACATCATAAATAATTGCTGATAAAGTTTTTTATCAAATCTAATCTAATGTTAAAACTGTAATTAGTATCGGCTAATTGTTGATATCGTTTATAATATGAAAACATTTATTGAGTTTATGGATGAAACGGGTCACTCTGTTTATTTGGGTGTGTTCATACTTCATATTGCAGATTGTATAATGTGCAATTCGGCTTCGGAAGATATTGGAAGAGCTTTGAACATTTCATTTTCCATGGGCTCGACCAACCACCTAGTCATGAAATGTATAAAAGTATGATTTACAGAGTTCATTTGCATTATTTTTACTTATACTTTACCTCGTCTGTTCCTTAGTAATATTGATATGCATATATCTCTTGTCTTGTATTTCTACAGAAACTTATGATCACGTTGTTGAAGTTGTTGAAGGGACAGGTATGCTTTTGGACTCCGTTTGCATGTATAAGAAAAACTGTGAAATAGAAACAAAAAGCTAATCTGATTTTAGGTTTACAGACTTTTTGAGAATGTAGGTAACATGTTACTGGATTTATTTCACAACTACTAATGTGTTCCAATTTGTTTTTCTTCATGGTTGTCCTAATATTATTGACTTTGCCTGGGATACTTTTTTTGCTTGTGCTTGTTGCTTATAAATGGAGCAGGATACATCTATCAGTCGATGATAAGATCGAAGAGTTCCTTCAAATACAAAACAATCTAGTTCCGATCAGATATTCTTTTAAAGAAATCAGAAAAATGACCAGAGGTTTCAAAGAAAAATTAGGTGAAGGGGGCTACGGCTCCGTGTTCAAAGGAAAGCCTCATAGTGGACATCATGTGGCCGTAAAATTACTTGGCAAATCAAAAGGTGAAGTTGCCTCTATTGGGAGGATTCATCATGCTAATGTGGCAAAACTTTTTGGATTCTGTGCAGAGGGATCAAAGCAAACTCTTGTATACGACTTCGTGTTAAATGGATCTTTCGATAAAATCATATTCACATAAGAAAATAAGAACATTTTGGGCTGGAAAAAGATGTTTGAGATTGTGTTTGGTGTGGCTCGAGGAATCGACTACTTGCATCGAGGGTGTGACATGCAAATTCTGCATTTTAATATCAAGCCACACAATATTCTTCTTGACAATAATTTCAAGTCCAAAAGTTTCAGATTTTGGTCTTGTTAAATTGTATTCAGTAGATGATAGCATCATCTCTCTCACAGCGGCACACGGAACACAAAGATATATTGCTCCCGAATTGGTATACAGAAACCTGGGAGGCATCTCATACAAAGCCGATGTTTTTAGTGTCGGGATGTTACTGATGGAAATGGTGGGAAGGAGAAAGAATGTGAATGCATTTGCTGATCACACCAGTCAGATCTATTTTCCATCTTGGATTTACGACCGATTGAATCAAGGTGAGGACATGGAGCTTGGATATGCTTCTGATGATGACAAAGTAATGGAGAGGAAGATGATAATAATAGCCTTTTGGTGTGTACAATTACTGTCTACAAATTGTCCATCGATGAGTAAAGTGTTGAGGATGCTTGAAAATGAGGATGAGTTACTTGAAATGTCTCCAAAACCATTTTATCAACTTCCTCTTGACACATCATCGGAGGTTCATGGTGGTGAGAGCCCCAATATTAATGAGCCAACTACATCAAAGTATGATATTACCATAAGCAGCAGATCAAATGTGGTTTGAGATCGGAAGCATTTCATCGCTTTGCATCTTTATATTATTTTGCATTTTATATGTACTTGTATAATGTTATATGTGGAGCATATGAACACAGATATATACTTATAACTAAATATTGAACAAATTTGATACTGATATTAGCTTTGAAATTTTAACTTTCCATCTTGAATAAACTAAATGTATCATGTTAT